AGCTCGAGGTCATCTGCCACCTTGGCTTTTCCTTTGAGGGCGGCAGCATAGCACTTACAAGACTCGAGTTGATCGCCTCACGTTACCCTAACTCCAAAGTCCGTGGGAAACTTCATGGCCAAATAATAGGTGGAGACCACCGCTCGTAGAGCATGGGTGATGGGCTGACCTATTATGGCATTGTACGGGGAGGGAGTTGCAACCAACAAAAAACTGTGGTTGAGCCTTACTATGCTTGGCCAGGTGCCGACCTCCACAGGTACGGAAATCCACCCCAAGGGCTTGACTTCCTCTCCACTGAAGCCCACCAAGGGAGTGCTCGCGGGCATGAGGTCGCTTTCCTGAAGCTGAAGCAGAAGCTTGTCAAACATAGCTTTGAAGAGGATGTCCGCCGAGCTGTCGGAGTCGACAAGGACATGCTTCACCTCGAAATCATTGATTCTTATCTTGACGACGAGTGCATCATCGTGAGGGTAGTGGACTCCGCGTGCGTCATCTTCGGTGAAGAAAATCGACTCCTCCGTCTTCGATCGCTTTGGGGGATTCTGCTATTCTCTTTCAATCTCACGAGCCGAGGTCCTGGCCGTAGTTGAGGTACAGCCCGCCACAACCGATCCGCCGGTGATCATGTGGATTGTTCCCCGAACTGGCCTCTCTTCGAGGGGCGGCCTCTGTGGCTGCTCGCCTTGCTCCCCCTTGCTCCCGAACGATAATAAGACAGGCGGCCTCTGGCCTCTCTACTGCTGGACTCGGGAGCATCTCTACCTTGCTCCCCCTGTCGTCTAGTCTTATTATCGTTCTGCACAAAATTTCTCAAATATCTGCGACAGATGAGCTCTTCTATCTCATCGTGGATGTTTTTACAGTTTTTGGTACTATGACCATGATCTTTATGAAAATGACAATACAATTTTTTGTTTCTAACATTCGGATCTCCTCTTAACCGGGGTGGCCGCTTCACGTACGATGCATCCTTGATCGCCATGAGGATCTCAGCTCGCTTCGCGTTCAATGGCGTGTAGTTCGGCCTTTCGGTTGGAGGAGCTCGGAAAGACTGATATGGCCTTCCTCCCCGAGCTAGCTCTTTCTTCTTCTTGCTGTCCCCGTGGGTCACGGACTCACCTTCTCTTTTCCTCTTCTCAGGCGGATTCTCGCTCTTCTGGTTCATCTCCTCCTCCGTTCCGATGAACTGGTCCGCAAGCTTGAGGAGTTCAGTTACATCCTTAGGTCTGTTGACAACCACGTGCCACTTGAACTCCTTGTGTGTTATGCCTCTCTTGGTTGTTGTGAGCCTCACCGTGGGGTCCAGGTCAAGTATCTGCAGGCATGCATCATTGAATCTCTTGATGTAGTTGTGGATGGACTCCCCTTCCCTCTGGACTATGCCGATGAGGCTTTCTTGGGTCCTCGGGCATCTCTTGCTAGAGACAAAGTGGGAGGTGAAAACTTGCACGAACTGTGCTTAACTCTTGATCATTCCAGGCGCGAGGTTCTTGTACCACGTGCGAGCTACTCCCTTGAATGTAGTGGAGAAGGCTACACACATGCAGGACTCACTTGCCCCGGTTAAGTGCATCTACGATTGAAAGGCATCTACGTGATCATTCGGGTCAAATGATGCATCATACTTGTCCAGGGGAGCTACCTTAAAGTCTTTGGGCATTGGGACGGCCAGGAGTTTGGGAGACAGAGGAGATGGTACAGAGAGGAGCGAAGTGGCTTTCACCGCTCTCGAGCTCGCCTCTTCTTTGGGAAGTTCGGGCAGGCGCTGGGCTATAGCTCGGCGAGCTCGGCAGCGTCTCCACTACCTCTTTGTTGGCTCTGCATTGGTGTTGCTGGCCTCTGTGTTGTCGGGCACAATAAGCCCAGGGAGGGGCTCGGGCTGCTGCCGATGGCTATGGATCGAAGGGCCTTGTCTATAATCCGTAGCCAGGACCTCGAACTGGTTCTCGACGAGTGGGATCTTGAACTGTGAAGGCCAAGGTGATGCAGGTCTGGTTGGTTGAGAGTCCCCCGACCTGACTACATGCTGCGAGGTGGGGGAATGCCTTGTCTTTCCCTCCCGCGGGATGAGGCCTGACTCCCAAGAGGGTTCTGAGTTTGGGAGGTCTCTCCCCGGCGAGAGGGTTGCTCGCTGCGACGGCGGGGCTCAGCCTGCTGCGCAGTAGGGTATCGAGGAGGAACTTGTTGCTGGTTCCGAGGCAGTGATGGAAACTGCTACTGGTACTGTTGCTCATGGACGTAGTGCAGCATCTGTTGCTAGTACAACTGAAGCTGCTGGACTTGCTGCCTTTGAGCTTGCATAGCTCGCATGCAGTGTATCAGGTCATCCAGCTAGTTCTGTCCAGCCACCGGGGGAACGGACGGTTCTACAAAGGATGCATCTACTGCGGGGGGGAGTGGAGCATTTACCGGCGCCATGATTTAGGGCACATTCAGAGTAGGGACTCCATCCGCAGAGAGGGGTACGGTGAACTGACCGATGCATACCGTTGGGGTTTGGGGTTGCCCCCAGGAGGAAGCCATGGAAACTTGCCTGAAATTGCTTGGTGAGATAGGCTTTTCGAAGCGGTTCCCACAGACGGCGCCAATTGATGGTGTGCAATCCGGTCACTCCTGTTTGGTGATGACTGTGCTCCTAGCTGGCGATGGACGGAGTACCTGTGAAGAAGAAGGATCCTCGGGGGAATACTCAGATGCTTAAGTTAGTACTCGAGTTGGAAGCTGGGAGAAGAAGAAGAGAGTTGTAGAGAAAATAGGAGGGCTAAGAGTGAGGATCACGCCACTCCCCTCTCTCTTGGGGATCTGGGCCCTTATATACTAATCTTCTGACATATCAGGTGTAACCGCCTCCGAATCCCTACAGCGGCGATTTGCTGTCAGATAACGGCTTGGCGTGGCTGGCCGTTACCTGTCAGAGCTGAGCTGTCGGGCAAAGGTGGTCGCTGTAGAGTACGGCCCTACTAGACAAGAAACGACCTTCAGTGATGGTAGGCACGACGCCGCCAGGCGAGAGACGTGGGTGCAGTCTGGCAGGTACAGTTATCAGGCGACGAATCTCCTATGATACGCTGAGCTGCTTTGTCGCAAGCTACCTTACACCGAGCTACTGGTGATGCGTCGAGGTGGATCTCTTAAGTAGCCTAAGTTTGGGCGGGAGCAAGCTGATCCCAATTAGGGGGCTGACAAGCTCATCCCGAGGTGTCTTCAGCTCAGGATGCTCCCTACTTGGGAGAGTCTTAGCTCGGTTCGTCGGAGTATCATCTTGCCGCAAGTTGCCACTTTGGGCGAGCTATTAAGCTAAGTTGTACCAAGCTCGTTATGCTGAGTTATCACTTATATCAGGTTATGTCCACGTGTCCCCTTATTATGAGGTCGGGCCGAATCACCCTCTATTAGTAGCATTAGTCAACTTTAAAACATTAAAGATACACTTAGTTAAACCATTAATCAACTTTATCCTTATGAGAACTGGTCCGACCATGAGGTACAAGTCTGACAACCGTAAATATATAATGATAATGTCTTTCCTTGTATTATGCAAAGCTCCTATATATTACAACTTCACCCATCTTGGTGATGATAAGCAGCTTCACCTATGTAACATTGAAACACATGATCGATCTTAAAACGAAGGTTTCAACCTTCAACCCAGGTGGTCTCCACACAGGAGACAGGCACAGAACAACACGAACCTTCTTCTTATGATTGTAAATAACTGAATCGAGGAATGCTATCAGCAATCAGTTGGTGTAACTCTTTGTTCTCCTAGTCCGGGACCTACCTCGCCCATAAAATACATGTTCCCGTTATGTCCGTAAAGCAAAGAACACAAAGAGTTGCATCAACTCGTTGTTTGTTTGCATTCCTGGATTGAATAAGCTAAGAATCACGTCACATTTGAGGATTGGCTACCAGTGTATCAAGTCATGAAATAACAGAAGGATGTATCATTCCAGATGAAAATGAAGTACGAAGTGGAAGCAACCGAATGGAGACATGAACCGATGAAGATCAGGCGATGGGTTGGCTTCAGATAGGTGTTGTTCCGAAAGCAGAATTAAATTAAGTGAGAAATTTTACTAAGTTGTTGAATTAAAGCAGGTTCCACCCAGCTTCCTCCTCACACTCAAAGCCCTAAATGTCCTTCGCAAACGGGGCATTCCCCTAACTGCAAGGAAAGCGCTGCCGTTGTCCGGCTCGACTGGGATCCCATGGTGCACTCGTTTTCGAAAGGTGCAGTACTACGTACTTAGTACTTAGTCATCGCCGGAGGGTCAGGTCAGCTGGGTCCAGCACTCTTTGTCATTTGGTTTGTCCACTTGTGGAATTTTCATGGGAAAAAAATTAATTTTAACCCAAAAAAGAAAATGAAGGAAACATGGGGCCACGTGGCTAAGTCTAGGGGCCGTTTGATAACGGCTGAATTTGCAGAACTGAATTGCTTATTGGATGAGCTCAGATTGCAACTTACATAAGTTTCACATCTAAGGGTAGTCTAACAAATTTGAGTATTGTCATAGTTTAAGTGAGTCCTGTGTTACTGTTAATTAAGATCTGGATTAATTTATGTGGGTCTCATGTAACCGAAGGGTGATTTTCTGTTGAAGTGTTAACAAGTTGATCTTTTGTTCTAAAAAAACGTTAAAGTTTACCAAACTCAGGTGTGATTATTTCGATCTTTATTAAGGTGAAATCAAACTGATTTAGTTGTTGAATAGTATTTTGGGATGACTCTTACCCATTGGAGTTATGAACTGTAAGCAATTTTTTTTTTTTTTTCTGTGGATAAACCATAAGCAATTCAGTGCAGCCATTTCAGCTCAGCTGTTATCAACCTCCGAACGGTGTGAGTGTGACGCCATGTATGCTTTATCTCTTTATTTATTTTTTCCTATTTTAAATCTCTCTCTCTCTCGTCTGCTTCTCCGTATACCAAGGAAAAGTCCATAATGTTAACCTTATATATAGGCCTCTGGAGAACCAATAAATGCAAGCAACCACCCAGTAATCCAGTATCGTTGCAGAGCTTAAAGTAAAACATCCTCACTCTCGCACTCCCCCCCAACTCCCCGAAAAAGATGAGGAACCACATTTCCTTCAGCGACGAAGATGAGAACGAGTCATCAAAGTCGCCCTTCTGCTGGTGGAGATCAGCCGAGCACTTCAATGACCAGGGCCAGCTCAAGCTCGACCTCTCAAACCTCTCCAACCTCACTCCCAGAGTCAAAGTCCTTAGAGAAATGGAGAGACTCGCCTTAATTGCCCCCGAAGGTCTCGACGACCTCCGACATAAGCTTCTCGCCTACCGTTCTGGCGATTTTTGGCTACCCATAGGCGGAATCAAGAAGGAAAACATGGATGTTCCCTCAGTTGTCACGATTCTCTTGGTGGGCTTCTCCGGTTCCGGGAAAAGCTCCCTCGTAAACCTTTTGTATAGCGTTCTGGGTCGCTCAGGACTGATTCCTTTTGCTCATACCTCCGGTAAGCTCTCCGAGAGTGAAATTTGGATCACTCTCTCCTTTATTTCGAGCTTCCATTTGGTGTCAGACTGACGTGTTTTTTTTTTTTTTAATTATTATCGGTATTTTCTTGTTAGGAAACACTTCGAATTACACTACTACGTTCTTGGAAGAACACAATGTGCTGAGGTCGCTGCGTAGTGGGTTCTGCGTGTATGATTCGAGGGGTTTGGACTACAATGGGGTGGATGAGAGTCTGGAGCGGTTGTCGGGGTGGTTGGCTGATGGGGTTCACCATCACCAGCTCTGTCAAAAGTCAGCAGACGAGGAGTCAAAGCCATTAATTGGGTCCATGGCATCACCATCGAAGTTCACCAGGAGAAGAGTAAACTGTGTCATGGTGGTGGCGAACATTGCAGAGATCTACCAAGCATTGAAGAAAGGCGACCTAAAGCCAATGGAAGCGACGAAAACTCTCTTCAACTGTCCAGCTATAAGGAAATGCAGTAAGCTACTCTCCTCATCTTTGTTTTTTTTTCTCTTCTCTTGGGTCTCTTGTCGATAACTTGGTGCATGCATCTTCGGTGCAGTCATCGCAGCAAACGTAGATGAGAACTCATACATTAATTAACTACTAAAAAATGATGATCACAACTAGCTACACTTTCTCTGCTTCATTGGGATCTTCCAATCTAATAACAACTCTTAGTGCAACTCCTTCATTCAAATAAGGAGTCCCCTTCCTCGACTATATATCCCCATTAACGTGAGCCAGTAGGAAGGATCATTGGTCCCAATTAACTTTCTCGGATTGTGTACGTATAGTTTGACCCCTGTAACTTGTAGCCCATGCAATTCCATGCAGCCATGCAAACTCTCTGTGATCAATACTGATGCATTCTCGACCTAGCCATGCATGAAAACACTCTCTGGTACGTACATATTTTGCCAAGTTGCGACAGAGTTAACAGTTAACAACGAGAGCGGCTTTATAGAGTCTTATGTTTTCCATGCTAAAAGCTCTTAATCTGTGACTAGACGACAAGCTCTGGCAAGTGCTTCTATATGTGTGATGCATGTAAATGATTCCATCTCCATCCTGTCGTGTGTGGTGGTGGATGCAGATGAGAACCCAATCCTGATATTGACGCATGGCGACAAGCTATCCCCCGAGGAGAGGATCGACGGGCGGGTGAAGATCTGCAAGTTTCTGGGGATATCAGAGACGACGGGGACCTACGATATTGTGTGCCTGACCGAGCACGGCTTCCTCCCAGATGAAGCGGACCCCATCACTGCTTATGCTCTGACGGAGGCGATGTACAGGGCGTTGATCCTGTCGGACAGGACTCACCCTCCGAAGAGAAGCGTCAAAGACTGGGTGGAGTTGCTGGTGTCATGGCTCATGTGCTCCATCGCTGCAATCTTTGCTCTCCTGGCTTATTTCTTCTCCAAACTCGGTCGCAAGGACAATAAACTCAAACTCATGTGAAAGTGAGATCGAGATCAACCAAACCAGACCAAAATAGGAAAGGAAAGGTGGCTTAATTTAGTCCCGTTTTAGAGAGTATAGACTATAGACTATAATTAAGATGGTGTCCTAATCTAGTATTATCCCTGGCCTCTCTTTTTCTTTTTAAGCTGCTGGTTCGGTCGAGCTTGAATCGAGTTATCGACTTCAATTCACAAATGCAGTCGTGTTCGGTCTTTCTATCTCTATCCCTGGTACGTTAGGTTCGTGATGATCCTATTTTCCGGCAGGACACCCTTTAAATTAGTAAGTCGCAGGATGTTTACAACTATGTCATCGCTAGCTCTCCGGTCCTTAATCGGAGTAGCAGCTAGCATGTACTTTCTTCTTTATTCAATAAAATTTCAATTTAGTGAAGCATTTGATTCTCTTTTCTTTTCTTTTTTTGTGATGTTTGTGTATGTGGGTGCTCGGGATACCTCCATTTTGCTCCATTTCTGTCTATCTGATCAAGAAAAGTTCAAATAAAAAGAAATGGAGAATGATATAAAAGGAGCTGTATGGACCTGGTTTCACATAAGGGCTGCCCCGTGTCAATTTGGTCCAATCCGATCCGGTCCAATATGAATCCATTACAAATAATTTGACCAGGTCCAGTCAAATCCGATGAATACTTTGGACCATTTTGGATCAGTCCAATCTGTGACCAAAACTTCAAATTGGTTTCAATTTAGATTTGTTACAATCCAAATCTGGTCTGGTCCAATTAAATATGTATCTATTATGTATGGTCTATATTCAATCCAATCCAATAAATACTGTGGACCATTAAGTATGGACTGGTCTAATTCAATATGTTTTCTTGATTCTTCTAATATTTATTCGATTTTGATTTGGATGGATCCGATCTAGAGCCAGTCCATTGACTCCATGGACTCCGGTCTGTTACAAATAAGAAATGTACAGCAGGCTAATAGACTCGATCAGTGAGTCCGGGTTGCTGATTGTGTTTCATTGTCATTGCCTGTTGTAAGTCTTGTTTGTGGGAGATCCTAAGTACCCTACATGTTCTATGTGTTCTGATATACATGCCAAAAGTCCAAATATAAGAAAATTAATAAAAAGTAATTTTGAAGAAAGAGATAAATTACAAAGATATCAATATATATGACTATACAAATTAGAATTTGATTGAAAAAATAAATTTAATTTATGGACAATGTATGGTTTTGGTTATTTAAAACTTTATATAAAACATTGTAATATTCCAAAGCCTCATAGCTGAACTAGTTTGCGAGGATCGTTTCAATTGGTAGGACCCTTTTCCCTTCTTTTTTTACCTTAATTAAGGCTGTTTTGGTTTGAAACAAAAATGTAGGAAAAGGAAGGAAATGGTAGGGAAACCTGTGCATTTGTAAAAGATACAAACATGGCCTGCATGGAAAAACTTGGTTGGAAAGTTCTCAACAACAAGATAACCTATGAGTAAAAGTGGATAAAGGGTAATAATTAAGAAAAAAAAAACAATTTCTTTCACTCAATCCCTAAAAAAGTAATCTCTATATCTTGGAAAGGAACTCTTGAGAGGAGGATCTGGTCATGAAAGGTATCAAATGGAGTATTCGAAATGGAAGTGACATCATTTTTTGGGTTGACACAATTGTAATGAAAATGTGTCCACTATTCAAATACATAAGAGCAAATGACTTAAACAACATAAGTTGGAATTTATCCCTTACAGAAAACTTAATCCCTCAAAATGTAACAAACAAAACTAAAGTTCTATATATATATATATATATATATTTTCTTGAATTTTCCTAAGTGTGCGTTTGTTTGAGGTGTAAAATCAAACCGGGGTAAACTTTACACCCCGATTTGATTTTGCAGGTGTTTGGGTAGAGTGTATATTTATACCTTAAATCGGTGCAAAACTCTATTCCGAAATTCTTTTACATTGATAACCGATGTAAAAATACATCAAAATTATCGATGTAAAACTTACTCGTTTCTACTGTCGAAGTAAATCTCCTCTCACTCTAACATCTCTTTTCTCCATTTTTCCATTTGCTCTATCTCTTGCCAGTGTCGCTACTTCTTTGTGCAATATCCAATACGGGATTCTATTCTCTCCCAAACCAATGAACAGAAAAAAGTCGTAGAAGCAGTACCAAAGACAGATTGGAGAAATCTGAACTAGGCGAATCCCTCAGATTGCTACTCCTTTGTCTCCTCAACAATCCATTCATCGCTAGATTCAGTGGAAGAAAACTCTAGATTCATGCCCTCCTTAGAGCAGAAAAATGATTGTAGTGTCAAACTCTTCCAAACCAATGAACAAAAAAAAGGTCGGAGAAAAAAAAATCTCAACTTTTACTTATTCTCTCCTCTACCTTCTCCTCATCTCCTCTGTTTTCGCTTTCTCTCCCACTCTACTTTTATTCTCTTTCTTCTCTGCTCTAATCTCATCCTTTTTAGTTCTTCACTCCTCGCGAAACCCACTCCGAAGCCGCATTTATGATTAGGATCACTTGCCTACCACTAACTTAATATGGAACGTTAGTACCAACGTTGCAGAAGAATCTATCGTTGGATGTACTGGATAATAAAGAGCTTAGCCCTTGTAGACATAACCGCTACATGTCAAATTCTATCTCCCTTTTCCTCCACCCCAAGCTTGTTCATTTTACTTTCTCCCCCCTCCTCAATATACTGATATTCAATAGCTTTCTTGACGATGCTGACAACAACTCGTCGAATGCAGATATCTCTCCTCTTCCATATGACTTCTCATTGACTACTCCCGGTAACTCAGTTAATTGTAAAAGTTACAAAGGGATTCACATGGGCGAGAAGTGAATGCTTCTCACTGGGAAAATATCAGTCCAAGCCGGTCAAATCCATTATTTCATCTTTAGCTTCAAACATCGATGTGCATTTTAAATAATGACAAAAAAAATTCATCAAAATTTACGCCTTGACAACCAAACACGGTAGGTGTAAATATTGAAAAACAACCGGTTCTAATTTTCATTCATCACTGAACTAGTTCATAATTTCCATAGGTGTAAAATTGAATTTATACCTAAAACAAGCGTAGCCTAAAGTGATAAAAGGGAAAATCTATGCTGCTAGAAAGACATGACATTGGAAGAGCTTTGACCAATCAAAACCCTCTCACCTTATTGGTTTCCACTTTTATGATACTTATTGATTAGTTAAGAGATTTTCTGGTATCTTTTGTCTTTTCAATATCTTAGTTGAACCTGTAATAAAATGTGGTTGGGGTGAATCCCAATGGGCAACTTAATAAAACCTTCTGCCACATGACTTGATACAAATGTGGATGTGGAGAGTAGAAGCCAAATTGGGCTAAAAAACTACATTACGAATCTAAAATCCCAAGGCAAGGTTTTTTTTGGTAACTAAAGAGATAAAATTAAATTACTAAAATGTTGATAAAGTGGGCTATGGAGTGGGCCAGGATTCTTGGGATTAATCCTGCCTACACCAAGGTTGGGGATAAGCTACCCCCATTGTGTATATTAGAGTATATCCAATATACCCAGTTGTGTATATCCTTAGGACTCCATCCTCAGGATAACAATTATCCTTAGAGGTTTAGGATAATTTTTATCCTAATGAGATGAGATCTGTTTGTTATCTTGTTTGTTATCTTTGTTGGTTGTTATCTACGATTCTAGCTAAGATAGAGTTTCCTCTTTGTAGAACTCTTCTGTTATAAATATAGTTCAAGGCCAATGGCCAATTCATTGTGCCCAACCATTATTTGTGTTGTCTGATTTTAACTTGGTATCAGAGCCTTTCCGATCCCATGGCTTCCAGCGGCTACAATTCTGCGTCACAACAATCAACAGGCACGTCAACCTCCAGCAACACAACAGGTTCGAATTCAGTTACCCATAGTGGGATTCATTATCTTCCTATCAAGCTCACCAACGACAACTACTTGCTCTAGAAGGCACAGTTGCTGTAAGTTCTCTACACCAACAGACTGATGGGGTACGTAGATGGTTCTATCATTGCACCTCCTCAGTATATACCAGATCCGACATATGGAAGTCGGATGATTCTCAATCCAGCACATATAGAGTGGTTTGAGAAAGATCAATTGGTCTTATCTTGGATCATTGCGTTGCTCACGGAGAACATGTTCACTCAAGTTGTAGGACATCGATCTTCCCGTGACATCTTGAACGCTCTGCCTAAATCCTTTGCAAATTACTCACAATCCAGGTTGATGCATTGCAGAAGACAATTCAGAGTCTCAAAAAAGGAGGTATGTCTATTTTTGAATATGTCTGAAAAGCTAAATCCATAGCTGATAGCCTTGTAGGTGTTGTAGAACCGATAAAGATGAGTGATTTGATTCTTTATATACTGGTTGGATTAAGACCCGAATATGAATATGTTGTTATTGACATTACTAATAGGTCTGATATAGAGGACCTCGATATTGATGATGTTTTAGGCATTCTTCTTGGCCATGAGGGCTAGTTAGAACAAAATGCTACCACAGTTGATTCACCCCCTACAGCCAATATGGTTAATCTTAAAAATCAAAATCAAAATAATAATCAGTACTCCCCTTCTGGGAACACCCGCGGGAGAGGCAAGGGGCGTGGTTCTTCAGAAAACCGCATGAATAATGGCGGTAAAGGATGTGGAAATACAATTATCTATCAGGTGTGCAATAAGCCGTGACATGGAGTGATTAAATGTTGCCGGCGATATGATCTCAACTACAAGAATGAGGAGGCAGAACCAGCTGCCTACAACAACAATACTACTCCCTCTCAGTCTGCATTCGAACCTGGTACCTGGACAGTGGTGCAACACATCACATGACGCTTGATGTCGACAATCTGCAAACTCAATCTGAATATGGTGGGTCAAATCAAGTCAAAGTTGGTAACGGTTCAGGTTTGGAAATTAAGAATATTGGTTCTTCAATTCTGCATACTGCTACTCATCAATTTTCTTGAAATAATATTTTTCATGTACCGGAGCTCTCCAAAAATTTGTTATCTGTTCAAAAATTTGCTCGGGATAACAAATTATTTTTTGAATTTCATGGTGATTATTTTCTTGTGAAGGATTATATAGGGAACATCTTCCTACGAGGAACCAGTAGAGACGGATTGTATCATTTTCCGGGCAAGGTGATTAATAGAAATCCGTCTTCTGCTTTGATTGACGAAAGTGCTTCTGTTGATGATTGGCACAAACGCCTTGGGCATCCAGCCATGCGAATTGTGAAGCAAGTTGTCACTCAGTTTGGTCTACCTTATAAAGGTCAATTTTGTTTAAGCTCTAATTTACTTTGTGAGTCGTGTCAAGTCAGTAAGAGTCATAGGTTACCTCTTCCCTTGTCTTCTTAAGTTGTTTTTCGTCCACTAGATTTGATATTTTCAGATGTATGGGGACCAGCCCCAATTTTATCTAATGCAGGTTTTCGATATTATGTAATTTTCATTGATGCTTATAGTAGATTTTCTTGGTTATTTCCATTGCAACGGAAATCAAATGTTTTTGATGTATATCCTTTAAATGTCATATTGAAAATCTATTTCATCCCAAAATCAAGGCTCTGCAATCTGATTAGGGTAGAGAATGTCGGAAACTTTCTTCTTACTTGGATTTCGTTGGCATTGCGCATCGACTCGCCTGTCCTCACACACATGAACAGAATGGTTGTATTGAACGGAAACATCGTCATGTCATCGAAGCAACCTTGTCTCTACTGGCTTCCTCATCGTTCCCCTTCTCCCTCTGGGCAGATGCCGCCCTTACAACAGTTTTCTTAATTAATCGGCTTCCTACAGCTACTCTCTTGCACAAGTCTCCATATGAAGTTCTGTTCGGCTCCCCTCCAGATTACAGGTTCCTCAAAATTTTTGGGTGTGCTTGTTATCCACTGCTTCATCCGTACAATTGGCACAAGTTTGATTTTCGTTCCCAGAAATGCATCTTTCTTGGCTACAACGACAAACACAAAGGATATCGTTGTCTAGGGGTGTCCATGAAAAATCGAAAAAATCGAAAAACTGAATCGTAAACTGTGGTTAACCAAACCGATCGGTTTCGGTTCGGAATTTTTGAAAAATCGAAGGACCGGTTCGGTTTTCGATTAACCTATAAAACAACCGACGGTTAACCGAACTGACCGGTATATATATTTATATGTATATTTTATATATACTTTTAATATATGTCACATATTTTCTATGTATTTTATATAAATATATATTCATTATATATAATTTATACTTATATTATACTTATAATGATCTATTTACAAATATATTATATATTTTTAAAATATTTATGATATATTATATATCATTTATTATTTATAATATAATATTATACATATATTTGTATAATATATATTATAAATATAAAAAACTGAAAAACCAAAGAACCGAACCAGTCAAAAACCGAAACCGGTGGATCGGTACCAGTTAACCGGTGGTACCGGTTCGATTTCGATTTGGTGAAATGAAAAAATTGGTACCACCGGTTCGGTTTACAAAAAGGGGCCATGGTTCGTTTACCAAATCGTGGACACCCCTGTTGTAGTCTGCACCTTGAAATTGGGAAAGAATACATCTCCAGACAATTTATCTTTGATGGGCATCATTTCCTAGGATACTCTGCGAGTGCTCCCACCGAATCGGTTCAGCCAACTGGGGTTTATCTGCAACCGCTGCCTGCACCTCTGGTTGCACCTCTGGCTTCCACTACAGATTTCCCAGCTTCCGACTCACTATTACAGGATAATTCAGATCTTCCACCGCCGACTGACAACCCTCACCATTCTTCTCCTGAAGTCGGACCTCGTGGGACCCATCCTATGCAAGACAATCCTGCTGTAATAGTCCCAATTGCTTCTCAACATTCCCGCTAGCATCCTATGGTCACTCGTTCCATGGATGGATCTTGATGTGGCTCATTGTGGCATTAGCAAGTGCACTAGCCGTTCAAGTAGTAAAGTAGTGAATAGAGTATCGTTCCCATGAGGATTTAGGAAACAATTACCAATACTAAATTGSKCACTTCTTATCTGATCAACAACAAATCAAAACTTTATTCAAAAGCTAAAAATCCTAAACTAAAATCTATCTAAATTATTGGCCCAATTACCTTCGATTCAGGTTAGAAGAATAAGCAGTTAATGTTAATCTCAGAATTCAACAATCACCCAAATTGAATCATTCGAATAGATTGTGATTGAGCCTTGGTTTGGTGAAACCCCAAGGTCATGAACAGCCTCTCTCAAGCGCATGTTCATCCTATGCATGAGTGACGGTTCTTCTATCTCTAGCAAGAATCTAATCATTCATGCATGCATTTCTTCAAACACATCTAAGGCATCAATTCAAATCTGAATTGATCACCAACTGAACTGTGCAAGTTAACTCTAACCTTGCTTGCAATTCAGTTCTTGAGTAGTAGATCTGAATTCCTAGAGTCTTTCTCAAGCACTCTAAGAATTCCAAGCTTAAATCAATTTGGCCAATCTGAAAATTTGCAGATCTGAATTCTCTTTCAAGCAATTCAGATCTGAGTTTTGAAAGTTTAATTGGCTAAATTGATCTACAATTAACCCCTGTTCAAGAAACTTCAAGAACAATTCACACCCATTCGAATGAATCAAAAAGAAATTGATYGYTRAWCTGAAATTTTACAAACTTAATTACATCAAGAAAGAATGGAAGAGGGAGAAAGAAAAAATTACAACAAGGAAGTTGAATTTGAATCAAAGGAAAATGAAACTAGAATGGAATTATTACAATAGATTTCTGAATCAAAAACCTCCAATTTCGAATTCACCTTCTCTTCTTGCTAGTTTAACTTGAACTCCTTTAGCCTTTCTTCTTCTCTTCCTTGCGCCTAGCCCTTCTTCTCTTCTCTTCTCTTCTCTTCAAGGTGTTCGAACCTCGAGGAGTGGGAGAGCCTTGATCTCAAGCAATTGAACACCTCTCCTCCCTCTAGAGGCCTCCATATATAGATTTTCAAGGGGGCACTTGCCCCTTCTTGAAGCCTCTAGAATGGGGTGTATTACACCCCCTTCTTGAACTTCTAGAGTTCCCTCTTGAAAGCCTTCTAAGGGTTGCCGCCCCTAACTCTTTGGGTTGCTAATTGGGCTGCACTTAAGCTCTCTCTTAGCACATGATAGCTACACTCTAGGCTGCTCTTTTGGGCTGAGAATGGGCCTTCTCTGCTAAGCCGAATTTTACTCTTTGCTAGGCTTTTTTTCTTGGATTTTCTCAAGGAATCAACTTGTACTTCTTGGGCCGAAGTGTGCTTTCTTGCTTCCATAACCGGGTTGGGCTGAATTTGGTCTTTTTGGACCTTCTTTTCTTACCTTTTGCCTTCTTTTTCTTGGATTAATTACCCTGAAATCTTTTCTTAGTATTAAGTTAAATTAGGGCAAAATTAAATAAAACCGGCATAATAATCCATGCAAAGACCTCATAAATTATAGATAAATTGTATGTTCATCAGATCTCTTCCTCCTCGTTCTCATCTCACAACCAGGTATCCCTTACCATAATCACTATTAGTTCAGTCTCGAGATGATACTACAGAACCCTCCAGTTATTCACAAGCAGTTAAATCTGCTCATTGGCGTGATGCCATGACTAAGGAATTTAATGCACTTGTTTCTAATGGTACTTGGAGTCTTGTTCCCTACTCGTCTGACATGAATGTTGTAGGGAGCAAATGGGTCTATACGGTAAAACGGAAGGCAGATGGTACTGTTGATAGATACAAGGCACGATTGGTAGCACAGGGTTTTACTCAAATCCCTAGGGTTGACTTTATAGCTACTTTTCGCCCGGTTGTAAAACCTATAACCATCTACCATTCTCTCTCTTGCTGTGATGAATCAGTGGTGTATACATCAGATTGATTTTGATAATGCTTTTTTGAATGGGGTACTTCGTGAGGATATTTATATCAAATAGCCCAAGGGGTTTGAAGATCCCTCTAGGCACCACGGGCTTGGTATGCTCGTCTCACTCACCAATTAGCACAAATGGGTTTTAGAGCCCCTACAGCTAATACTTCTCTCTTTGTGTTCTGTTTTAAGAACGTTACTCTTCATCTGCTTATTTATGTGGATGATGTCTTACTTATTGGGAACTCCCAAAGTGCTATCCATAGTTGCATTCATGAGCTCTCTCACCATTTCTCTCTTAAGGATCTGGGTCCTGCTTCCTTCTTCCTTGGTATTCAGCTTATTTGACATTCTAATGGGGTTCTTCTCAGTCAGTGCCAATACATCACTGATTTGCTGCATTGGTCTCACATGGATGCTGCCAAACCTATTTCCTCTCCTATGGTGGTTCATCCCAAGCTCACTCGACATGATGGTTCTCCTCTTGCTGATCCTACTGAGTATCGGAGTATTGTTGGCACTCTTCAGTATGTGGCGATCACCCATCCGGACATCTCGTTTGTAGTAAGCAAAGTTTCTCAGTTTCTGCAGGCTCCTACTGATGATCACTGGGCAGCTATGAAACGCATCTTGCGTTACCTTAAACATACCATTATGCATGGTCTGAACCTCTCATGGACATCCTCTACCTCTCTTACTCTTCATGCTTTTTTCGATGCTGACTGGGCAGGGTATCCAGATGATCGCAGATCCATCGAAGGCTTTGCTATCTATTTAGGCCCTAATTTAATTCTTGGAGCTCCCACAAACAAGCAGCAGTTGCATGTTCCAACACTGAGTCTGAATTTTGTGCTTGTGCCACATCCGCCATTGACATTCTCACCAAGCCTCTCACCGGTGATCACTTCCGCTTCTTGAGAGACAAACTCCATGTTCATGATGAGCATGGAGCTGGAGGGGGCGTATTAGAGTATATCTAGTATGCCCAATTGTGTATATCCTTAGGACTCCATCCTTAGGCTTTGTTGGTTGTTATTTAGGACTTTATCTAAGATAGAGTTTCGTCTTTATAGAAGTCTTCTGTTATAAATACAGTTCAAGGCCAATGGCCAATTCATTGTGCCCAAACATTATTTGTGTTCTCTGATTTTAAATGTATAGCCCCATGGAGCCAAAAATAAAAATAAAAATCTAAATATCCAACCAAAGGATACTCATTAGGTTTGGCCCTACAATAAATTCTCATTAACCTCAGTTATTAGTTAGGTTTGGCCCTGCAATAAATCATCTCTCCATTGATCGTAAAATGAAACATTGTCATTTGGCTTCTAAAGGTAAGATCAACCTTGAAAGCAACAAAGATGGGGAGAAAGCAATACACATCATATGGAATATATGAAAGTATAGAAACTTTTGTGTGTTGAACAACTCTCCGGTAAACTCAGCAAGAATAATAAGTGGTAGAGAAGCAGTGGAGCTGGCTGAATACCAATTGGAGAGCCTAAAATACAAATCCGAAGAAAAAAAGACAAAAGGATTCAGCTCATAAGACGGAAACTGCTCAAATAAATCGTATTAAACTAAACTTTGATGTATCGGTTAAGCATGGAGAAGGGAGAAATATCAGGCTTTGGGCTGAAGCCTTGAATCACAGCCCTTGTTGTAGTGATGTGGGGCCCTTTTAAATTGGATGATGAAGTGGCGTTAAGGTGGGGTCCCAAAATACATTCAAAGGCCCTGATTTTAGATTTTAGCCAAGGCTACACCTTAGGGCATGGCAGATTTTAGATTTCACCTTAGGCCCAAGGCTACACCTTAGGCCAAGGGTACACCTTAACGCCACCTTAGAGCGTTAAGGTGGCGTTAAATCATTTGCACTGTTATGATTTTACATCAGTGTAAATTTGTTTGCATTGCAACCAAACACAGCCTTAATGAAAATATCTTTTCTGGTTTTCTCTTTATATCAAAGGCTGTGTTTGGTTTGAAAGAAAACAAATAGGTATTATAGAGATGATTTTGGGTCCAGCAGCAGGTTTTTTAGCCGGTTTTAGATGGTAAATTTCCAGTGGCAAGAGAATGAAACCAAGGGGTTGAAGTTTACATCTCTGTATCATACCAATAGCAATCTGCCATACAGATTTTAAAAAATCACTTTAATTTTGAAATAGGGAAAACAAGCTGGTGTGGCAGATTGCTATTGGTCTGATACAGAACTAGGGGACAGACAATGTGAATTCAAAGAGATTAGAGAGATCACTCCTCATAGAGCGCTCCTCACGGCACCTATCTCACATCATCTCATGGCCGCACATCAGGAACATCTCCCGTACTTATAATTAATTATTCACGAGGAGATGTTTCCAATATATGGTGGGATGTGGCTGTAAGGAGCACTCTGCGGTTAGCAGATCTCAATTCGATCTAAGGATGGTAATTTGTATCCTCTTGTACTTGCTCCTATCAGCTTCAATGGGAGTGGATTCTTTTGTTTGAAAAACAGGTTTTGGATTGGATACAGATCTTGGGACTTTCAAGCCGTATGGATATGGTATTAGGCTAAACTGACCCTCCTTCACCACATATTGTTGGAACTTGAAAGGCATGGAAAATTATGTATAAGGAATTGAATTTAATAATATATTGAATTTTAGGTAAAAGATAATTAATAATTTACATATCTTCTATATATTTTAATCAAATAATTAAATTTTTTTATGATTGTTCATATTATTTTAATTGTTTACAAAACCCTCCCAAACTGCACCATTGCAGAACAATTTTTTTATCTGCGATTGGGAATTCACTAAGGGTCAGTTTGTCTTTTAGATTTTGAGAGGGAGAAGTTGGTTAATAAGATTTTGGTTTCCATCAACCAAGATACCAATGTTCTTTTTTCATATTTATATGGGGTCTATGGAAAATTTATTTTCCCTTGGGTAAGTTGTACTCATCTCCTAAGTGGGTATTTAATTTTTCCACAGAGAAAATTGCTGGTACTTGAATTGGATAAAATTTTCTCCTTAATAATGTATTTTTATGGCTAAAATAATCATTATCTTATTTACATGAAAAATAACAAATAAAAAAACATAAATAAACACATTTATCATAATAAATATTTCCATAACTTCCTGAAAATGGAACATGGCCTAATTGGTAAGGTCTCTGGGTGCTTGTAGGAGGGACTTTGGATCGAATAGTTAGGAGATGGTTAATCGTCTACCCCATTATTATCCCAATGAAAAAATGCATTTTCTAACCAAGCAAAACCTAAATTTAGAGCGCACAACCTTGCCTAGTTGCCCTACATAATAATGCAAGCAATGCACCGGTAGGCGGCAGTGTTGAATCTCTTACCAATCCCGCCTAGGTTTGGATAGGGGCGAGCATAATTCGGTCAAAACCAAAAAACCGAACCGCAATTTTGGTTTCGATTTAATCGGTTTGGTCTAATCGATTATTCGGTCGGTTTCAGTTTTTTTGTATTTCGGGTTTCAGTTTCGGTTATCATATTTCATAAATCGATTAATTGAGAAAACTGATTTACAATTATAATTATATATTTTTAATATTATTTATTTTATAATTTATAAAGAATGAAAGAGTGAAAAACAAATAAAATGGCGCCTACTAGTTTCCTAAATAAGAAAAATGTAAAAGAGTGAAAGAAAACATTAAAATAGCACCTTAACCCACTATCCAGTAGGTCAAAAAGCAGGGGCTAACGTAAAAGAGAAAACATTAAAATAGCAGCTGAATGTCTAAACCCACTACCCAATAGGTCAAAAAGCAGAGACTCTCACTTGCATTTGCCTACCTCTCTGTTTTGAATTCTACTCTACTTCGTCGGTCAGCACTGCCATTGCAGCGTGGCAGAGTACTGTTGCTAGCTGGTTAGTGGCTGCCTTACCTCACAAGCCCAGTCATCTTCAATTATAGGCTTGCCATCATTGTTGAGTGCCGCGGTTGCCGCTGCATCTTCCTTCAAGCTCCGGTCCTCTTGCATCTTCCTCGCTTCATCTCCAATTTCTTTTTCCTCTTCTTTTTTGTTTTGGATAAAACACATATTGACAGAAGGCTTGGCTTAATGAGTAACCACATAATTGGTATACATTTTTTTTAATCTTGGTGAAATGAGATTCAAGTTAAATAATTTCGGTTTTAACCGAAATATCCAAAATAACCGAAAAAAAAATTGGTTCAATTTATTCGATTTTCACGTATTTCGGTTTCGGTTCGGTTTATCATATTGTTAAATCGGTTTTTAAAATTTCGATTTTGAACCGAAAAAACCGAATGCTCCTCTAACTTTGGGATGTCGGGATGGTTTATTTCTACCCTATCACTATCCGTCTACCCAGTGAAAAATATACATTTTCTAGCCAAACAGAACCTGAATTTAGAGCGCACAACCTTGCCTAGTTGCCCTGCATAAAAATGCAAGCAACGCACCGGTAGTCTTGAATCTCTTACTAATGGCGGCAGGACGCGAAGTCTCCGTCGTAACAGTCGGTGGGAAAGGCTCTGCTCTCTCTTCAGCCTTCGTTTTCGCCATTTCCAATGGCTGTGCTCAGGTACGAATCGATTCTTCAGTCTTGGAGAAGCTATCTACCAAGCACTCCCTCTCCGCAGTTCCTCTCCAGAGCTCCTCGAATCCGAGATTTCTAACGCTAGAAGAGTCCCGAGCTTCACTTCTTGTTCTCCTTAATAAATTTGCTCTCTCCAATGCTGGTGTGCGACCCACTCTCCCCAATTTGATTGTCGAAACCCTAAATAGAGGGTTTAGTGCGGAATCCTTAGATTTTGGCTCCGTAGTTGATTTCTTGGGTTCGTTTTTCCGGTTAAACGGGACAACGCTCGAGGAGGCAGGCGTAACAGATGGAGAACTGGTTGTTTTGGAGAATTCTTCCGCCAATTTGGGTGGCATTTCTGCACTTTTGGATTATTCTTCATCTACTCTGTCGACAGTGGCTGATGCTGTTGCCTCCCTTTCATGTGAGGCTTCGAAGGCAGATATCTCGGCTTTCAATTCTGTGGATTCTGGAGACGGCTTCTCTGTGAAGGACGAGACGGCTGTTGCCAGTGATATGAAAGTTTTACTTATTGGGTCGAAGCTTGTTGGCCGTGTTGATTCCGATGCCATTTCGGAGATTCCAAAGGTTCATGGTAGTTTCAGGGAAGTGGTTAGGTCGGTGCATTCGAGGGTGCGGGTTGAGTTGAATTCTGTGGCCAAAGTTACTAAAGCGGGTTCTTGGGGTAATGGATTTGGAAAGGTGTTGGCGACAACATTTTCACCTTTAGCGACATTGCTACGTTTTTTAGGTGAGGGTAGTTTGCGTCGAGCGAAATTGGTTATTGATTCGATCGATTCTGCCGATCTGCGTTCTCAGGTGCTGGAAATATTTGGTCGGAGTTGCCCTAACTCCGACAATTTGAATGATGGGGTTCGGTTGATTTCAGAGGCTCTCCTTAATGTTGATTATGCGAGTCTTTTGCATGAGATATACTGTTTATTGGTTAAAGTCAGAACGATTATTTCTTGGGAGGGAGCTTTGGCTCTTTTTATACTTGAAAGGAGTGAGGCAAATGAAAGAACGCAAGGGGTTACATCTGTAAGACCTGAGATAAATGGAGCAAAAGCAAAGGCAGATAAAAAGGGCGAGAAGAAGAAGAAAGTGGTTTTGGGAAAAGGAACTTCTGTCCTGAGGCAACTCATTAAGGGATATTTGAAGCAGATGGATGGTGATTCAACTGACAGTATAGCAAGCTTGGAGGGGTGGACAAGAGAGCTGTCCTTGTTTTTTGATCCTAAAGCACAGAAACTTGATGCTCTGTTGAATAAATTTAAAGAAATTGTAGAAAGCAATGAATCTAGACGACTTCCCAAACTTCCGAAGGTGATAACCGCTATGTACTCTTTTTTTTTTTCTCTTCCAAGATGCAATTTCTGTCTGTTTCTATGTTATCTGGACACAACTGGACACGGAATCAGATACAGAATTTACACTAGAAATTTCAGTACTCAATATGATACCACACCCTTGTACAGGTATCTGGGTATCATAGGTCTTCTTTAGGCTTGATAAAAGTTTTTTTTTTTTTTTTTAATGTTATATCTGATAAAAAATTAAACCCTCTTGTTTATTGATTGTTGTCACTCTACTCAAAACGTTTCCATGACATGATGTTACTTTGTTTTGGAAGCACATGCTTATCTTGCAGATCTAATTGCATCTTGCACCTTAGGTTGTGATGTTAGCCTGGTTCTATATGCAATTAATATTTAAAATCAATTGCATATATTTTACCTTGTTCTAGGAATTAATACTCTCTGAACTTCATTGGAATCAATTGCATTTCAAAAAATGAAAATCAATTGTATATATTTTAATTGCATCATGCACTTTGCTGAGTCATCTATTAGGAAGTTTTTCTATTTTGGAATTTGATGGGATATGCATTACTAAAAAAGATGAATAGCTTGAAAAGTTAGAAGTAAAAGCATGCAAGCAAATTAGCATCCATATCAATATCCATATTTGCCCACATTTTCCTTGAAGAGATGGTGCAATACATGTACTCTCAAATTTTCAAACTTGAGAGTTTGTATAGTTCTACTGATCCTGTTAGAGTTAAGTGAGATTGGGCCATCACCGTGCTGTTTTTAAAGAAAATTGCATATGTTTAAATTTTTAGAAGCTATTTTTTTAATGTTTTTTGCTGTCAGCTTGGGGGCTTGCTTTCCAGGTAAAGTACTTGGCTTGCTGCATCACTTCCATGTCTCTATGTATCAAGCAGCATAGCCTATTAAAGGTAAAAGAAGAAGGAAGGCTTTTTGTCTGTTTCAGTATTTCACTTAATACATACATTTCTGTACTTTGATGAGCAAATTATTGGTAGTTCTCTTTCAAGTGAGTCTTGTTATCCTCTCCTTCAAAATGAGTCATTGAGACAATTCTTCTTTACTCGGTGAATTACCAGTTTGCAACATAAACCTGATTGCATCTCTGAGTCATGTTTTGCATGATCATGTCTACTGATAGTGCTATTGAGTGCATATTTACATGTGCATTAACTTGTTCTATATTGTTCCATGTGTTGATAGAGTGCAGTATATTCTAGTGTATTTTGCCTCTGGCTTTGTTGCCAAAGTGCTTTATGATTTTTTTGGCATTGCTTGCAAATTTCTTTAACTTGTATATTTTTTCTTCTCAATGAGCTTATCTTTAATCTTATTTTTTTAACATTTGTTAGGGTACACGAGATTTTGCAAAAGAACAAATGGCTATAAGGGAGAGAGCGTTTTCAATAATAGAAGGGGTGTTTAAGCGGCATGGTGCCATGGCTCTAGATACTCCTGCTTTTGAACTGAGAGAGACTCTGATGGGAAAGTATGGGGAGGATTCAAAACTAATATATGACCTTGCTGATCAGGTAAATTTCACCGATAATTGTTGCAAGCCATGCCTCATGATGATTTATTAATTATTTCTGTTGTTCATCTTCAAGTAATTGTAATGTTTCTATTTTTTTTTTTGAGGCGCTTTAGCAGTTTTTGATTAAAATGTTCATGTTCTTAGTTTGCTTATTTTATGTGTTGATTATTTTAGCCTTAAATATTTGAAGCTGCTTTTACTTTGTAAAATGTTGTGGAGCGCTATTATTTATTTATTTAGAGAACATATTGTTTCAAAATAAATGGAGATGCATGTGGTGGGGTGTGCATTGGAATACTGGTGTGTTGTGCAGGGTGTTAGAATGTATGGTAAACTTTTCATTGGGTACAAGGCTATTGTGAGTTGACATTCCATTCATCAAAAAAAAAGTTAAAACACATGTTCCAATATTGGAGGAAAGGGGGGAGGGGTAATAAAGAGAAGTTGATCAATCTCATTTTCCTGTTGACATATCTCTAATGTTTGTGATGGTTCATCGAGTATTTATTCTTATTGTTATCAAGTTGTAATTATATGCTTAAAATTTTTACAGGGTGGTGAGCTTTGTTCTTTGCGGTATGACCTAACTGTTCCATTTGCCAGATACGTAGCTATGAATGGTCTTACTTCTTTTAAAAGGTACCAGATAGCTAAAGTATACAGAAGGGATAATCCATCTAAGGGGAGATATCGTGAATTCTACCAATGTGACTTCGATATTGCTGGACAATATGAAGTAATGGGGCCTGATTTTGAGGTTATTAAAGTTTTGACTGAATTGCTTGATGAATTAAACATTGGTGATTATGAGGTATTTTCTTTTCCTGTATCTTGCTATTAGTGCAATTCACTTCTATACTAATTATTGTTTGTTATATAAGAATTTGATTCCTTTGAAGAATTTATGCATCTATACAAAATTGCATTTTAATCATATTCTGTGCTTCCGTGATTACCCATGAATTTTCTTTTCTCCTTAAAATGGCTTCCATTTTGGTAATTCACCTTTCCTTCTACAGATAAAACTGAATCATCGGAAGCTGCTGGATGGAATGTTGGAAATATGTGGAGTGCCTCCTGAAAAGTTTAGAACAATATGTTCAAGCATTGATAAATTGGACAAACAGTCATTTGAGCAGATCAAGAAGGAAATGGTGAGATTGTATATTATGTGTAACTTGGGCAATGGGTATTTATTTTTCTTTAGCATCCTTTTTTTTTCCAGAGAGTTGGATGCTTTCATGATTTTATTGTTTGGAATACATTTCCCCCCTCTCTCTGTCCTGTTTTTTGATCGTGTATAAAGTGAATGTGGTAGGGTGCTCTAGTACAAATAATAGATGAATTCTCTATGTTAGACACATGTCAGATTCCAACACCATGGATTCTTGAGGGACACTTGTACATGACGTTTTCGATTTTCTCCTTGCTCATTTGACATAATAGAACAGCTAACTCCCGAGTTGACTTCATAAGCACTCTAGTTGACTTGACTTCAAGCATATGGAGCCATGTTATGGTGGTGACTCTTTTGTGTATGACTCCTTTGAGACAAGCTCTAGTGACTGACTCCTTGTTGACCCACTTGACCTTTAGCTGAATGATTTTTCATTGTTTCCTACTGGTCACCTATGCCATTATTTGATTTATATTTTTTAATTTAAAATGCAAAAGTTAGTGTATAAAAATTTGAAAGTATATATTTTGGACCTATCAAAAGACATAATAATATATTTATTTCATTTTGCATTCAAATGAATTAGTAAGAGTATTTCATAATTAGGTCAATCATGAAATCTCCCTAGATAACCAACCAGTTTTTTCCACATGGAGGAATCCCATGGCTATTCTGAATCCTTTAAGCTCTCTATCTGCATACATACTTCACTTGTACACATTATTTTTTTTTCTTTTGATCAGCCACATTATTTGCATACAATACATTGAATCGGAGATATACCTTACTTGTACAAGCCATCCAAACTAAAAAAAGTTATAATTTGTGGTTATGAGAATGTACAAGGTAGACCTTGCAAAAAGTTGACCCAACCTGCGAACCTGACCCAACCCAACCCGAAAAAATAGGGTTAGGGTCTCATATTTAGCAACCTGAATGCGAAAATGACCCAACCCAACCCAACCTGAAAAAACTGGGTTGGGTCATGGGTCAACCCGCTGACCCGATTGTCGTCTAATTGGGATTATTTATGCATTGTTAGAAGTTTCCACTCTTTAATTTTTTCTATTTAGTCTTTACTTTTTATTGTTTACTCTTTAAATTGTTAAATGTTCAAGCTTTTATTTTATATTTGGAATTTTAAGGTTAATTCTTTTAATTTTGTCATTTTTCATGTAATTTTTCTTTATTTTTCTAAATTTCAATTATTTTTTGGGATGACTGAATTGATCAATGGGTCAACCCTAACCGGAACATTTAGGGTTAGGGTCTGGCATTTGACAACCCAACCCGAACCCGACCCACAACCCGAATTAATTTTTTCTTGCATTTTTGTATATTTTTAAAAATTTAAAATTGGCGCCTTGCTTGAAAAAGGCAGGTGTCTCACCTTGTGGTTGTGCTTTGCTCCTTGGGTGCAAAAAGATCCTTGCACTTTTTTTTTGGCCTTGCGCTTTTTTTTTTTATCAGCAATACATAAAATTCGTTCATTTCATTAAAAAAGAAAGTGTTCAACCAGAAGAACTTTGTCCAACCCAAAACAAGGCAGACCCACTTGGCTGAATTACAGCCTATATTACAATTGAGTCCAATACATATGCTCTCTTTGAACTCCTTGTTTTGCTAGGCCATCTGCTAAACTATTGGCAGATCTCCTAACCCACTTGATTTGAATTGTGATTTCTCTTGAAACCCATTTGAAATGCCTAAATTCATACCTAAGCTTCCGGATTACCCCTCACCTTTCTTTAGCCAAGCCACTAGCAGCTTTGAATCACCTTCAAGAATCAATCTTGCAACTCCCATATCTCTCACCATCTTAACCCTAAACACTGCAGCAAAGAATTCTGCACTTACAGAATTACCTTGCTCAGTTGGGCATGAAAAAAAGCAAGCATTATGCCACCCTCATCTCTTATTACCCCTCCAGTTCCTGACAGGTCTGGATTGCTCTGCACTTTTAAAACACTGGAGGTAGATTTGTCAGCGAGCTACGCTATGTCTTGGGGCTTGAAGGACAGATAGTTAATAGACTAGGATCCCAGTGAAGGTAGATTTGAAGCTCTCCTGGAAAGGCTTAAGCATAACTGATTAACAGTAACAGCTAAAGGAAATCATTAGCTATTAGGTGAGCATTTGGGAGTTTTTATTATTAAGGAAAAGTGGCAAGAGCTATTAAGGAATTAAATTGAGTGAAAGTAGGAAGTACAAAGGGGCATGGTTGTCTTCAATGAAGGATTTGCAAAAGAAACCCAAAAACTTTGGGCTGGCTCTCTGCTTAAGCTACAGCTTGGATGGTTGAGAGGAGAGCCAGGTGGTAACTCATTGTAGATTTTGTCTGGCTTTGTATTTTTTTTACCAACATGGATTTGGCTTTCCACATTTAGAAATCTGTGGAAGCCACAAAACCATTCCAGGGAATCTTTTCTGAATAGACACTTGATTAGAGTGATCCTTCTTCACAAAAAAGAAGCAACTTTTCTTTCCAATTGCAAGTTTCTAGCTATGTTACCCAGATACAAAAAAGACATGACTGGATATGATATTGAATTTGGCATTTACACTAGAAATTGAAGTATTAGGCACAAAATGACACCCTTGTACAGGTATCCATGTCTCATTGGTTCTAGGGAAGTTTCTTAGTTCAGGAATCCAAAATAGTCAAAACCCGGAATGGAAGGTGAAGGTGCAATTGGTCGAGATGATGCTGGAGGGGTCTTTCTTTGAGGAAAGTGCAAGTATGTTTTTTCACCCTTCAGTGATGCATAGAGAATGCTGAACCCTCTGAGGCAGAAGTTAAGAGGTTCAGGGCCCTTCACATGGGATTCATATCAAGAAACAGTCCCAGATACCTTCCCTTTTGATTGAAGGCATTTCAATCAGTGCAATCAACTGGTGTTTAGAGTATGGGAATTGGCCTTTGGTGGTTGGTCCACTACATTGATGAGACTGGGGAGATGTTAACTTCTGTATCTGTCTAGAGGGAGGTTAGGTAATCTTGGCAGAGGGCCTCTGGTTGCCCCAGAAAAGACATTGGGGAAACTCTTGACAAGGAGTTAAGTAGGCAGAAGTGATGATCCCATCATCTAACCAATCTACTGATCATCATCGTAATCACCCAAACCTTATCCCAACTATATGGGTTTGGCTACATGATTCCTGTTTCACCATTCCATTCTGTTTAATGTCGTATACATTGTTAAATTATTGGCGCTTAAATCGTTTGATCTACCCCTAGCCCATCTAGCCCTTTCAACTAGCAAAAGATCACTTCTTACAGGTGCCATTAGATACTTCTTACAGGTGCCATTAGATGGTCTTCCTCTTCCATGCATGTGACCTAGCCATCTTATTCTACTCTCTCAATTTATCACCTATTGGGGCTACTCCTAGATTCCTTCAAATGACTTCATTTCTGGTCCCATCCTTTCTACTTTTTCCACTCATCCATCTCAGCATGTGCATTTCTGCCACTCTTTTTCTTGGATATGTTGTTTCTTGACTTCCCAACACTTGGCTCCATACAGCATGGCTGGACTTATAACTGTTTCATAGAATTTTCCTTTTAACCTAAGTGGTATTCGCCCAACACATAAAACTCTGGGTGCGCCCGTCGATTTTCCCCATCCTGCTCTAATTCTATGGCTGTCATCCTCAATCTCTCCCTTGTTTTGAATTATTGCACCAAGGTACCAGAAAAGGCCACCTATAACTCTTTTGGTCTCCAATCCTAAGTGTACCCTGATTTTCACTCCTATTGTTATTAAATGTATATTTCATATATTCTGTTTTAGGCCTACTTATTTTAAAACCTATTGTTTCTAAGCATCTGTCCATAAGCTTAATTTTGCATTTGATGATTTGATCCTGCATTAGTTTCATAATTTAAAACAATGTCATCATCAAACAACATGTGCCATGGGATATAACCCATTTTAATTAAGCAGCATGAACTTCATTAGTTCATTAAACCCTTTCGGCCTTTCCCCAGCTTTCTTGACATCATCAGTCACCTCATTACAAGTATTAATTGCTGGTGAGTTCCACTTCTAATTAGGAGGTAAACAGCCTCTATAATATTCTATGTGTACTCTATAATACTTGTGGATCCAAATACTCCCGAGTTCTGACAGGAGTATCTGGACCGCTGAGCCATGTGAGCATTCTCAGTCAAATATTTCCTCCACATGATTCAAAATCTATTGATTAATGGCTTCCCCCATAAAGCCATCTGGAGAACTGAAACCCCATTAGATGTTGCTTTCTTTGTCAGGAGGCATGACTCCTATGCTTTACTACCTGCACTGTATGTAACTCTATGGAGGAAACAGTGAACCACCTATTGTGCACTGAAACTTTACTACCCAAATCTGGTTCCATTTCTTCAACTGTTCTGCGGTTCAGTGGTGCTTTCCCCATGCCATCATGGACCTGTTCAAATGCTGGAAACTCAAAGTCTGAAATCTGAACATTAAGGGATCTATCCTATGGAGGACAACTACCTTGGCAATTTTGTGGGCCATATGGCACAAAAGAATCACAGAGTTTTCAAGACCAGAAGTTAATTAATGGAGGAAGTTCTGAGAAATACCCTTGGAATGCTTTCATCCTGACTACCTATTTGACAGGGCTTCAAAGGCACTAGTATAGGTCTTTTTTTGAGTTTCACACATTAGAATACTTGTTCTTCCTTTATTTTTCTTCTGAACTGAAAAATCTTTGATCCCATCAAACTTATGGTTATCTCATCTGGCTGCTCGATCCTCATGATAATGGTTCTTCCATTTCTTCCTAAAAATCTCTTCAAGTGACCAAGAGGGCTCCCTTTCTCAGTAGACATGATTAAGATGAAAGGTATTATCTCATCAACTATTCTTTTCTCTGATTTGCATACTTGCCTTTTGTATGAGTCTAGGATTCCTTGTATTGCTTTCTGATGTACATGGTCATCCATTAGTGACTGATTTACAATAATTGATCTTGAGGAGATTCATGTATCTATTATTGAATTGCTGCATTTTCTGTTACAAGTGTTTAACATGATGGTATTGTGCACTAATTGATTGGTTTATTTTTCATGGATGCCTTGCGATACTTTGTATTTTTAGTTCTGTTCATATGTTTTTCTTGTTATTTTCCATCCTTTATTTGTCTGGTGCTTTCTATGTTAAAAATTGATTTGTCATGTATGCAGGTTGAGGAGAAAGGATTAACTATTGAAACAGCAGAAAGAATTGGCACTTTTGTGAAGAAAAGGGGATTCCCATTGGAAATATTGTCTGAATTGAAACAAGATGGCAGCGAGTTTCGAAACAACAGTGGATCTGTTCTTGCATTGAATGAGTTAGAGATTCTATTTAAAGCTCTAGAAAAATCCAAGTGTATAGAAAAAGTGGTTTTTGACTTGAGTCTTGCCAGAGGTCTTGATTATTACACTGGAGTTATTTTTGAAGCTGTGTTCAAGGGTGCTATGCAGGTAAATATTGACATTGCTCTTTGATTCACCCCTTCCTGGATAGTACAAAATTACAAATAGAGTTACCGGAAAACGATTATGTCAATGATTCACTTCTGAACCATTTTTTTTTTTAATTTTTGAGATTTGATTCATTAGTAATTATCAAAAGAAAAAGATTTGATTTATTACTTTGTATTTTGTTTTGTATTATAGATCTCTAAGACGTTTGTTAGCAGAATGTGACAATCAAAGCTGAGTATGGGTTAAAAGTTTGCTCTGGCTTACAATATGTAGATGTTAAGGTGGAAGTTCAGTGGTGATATGTGTTCTATGTTTATTCATATCATAATTCCCTCACATATGTCCAGCATCCAAATTTCAGTTTGAACAAAAACAAATTCATTTATTTCTTGTTCCTTCATATTGGTAGTTTGAGTTTCAACTTGAATAAAATGAATTCAGGAAAAAAAATGCTTCTAAGGGTTGTGGCAATGGGCTATTGCATTTTATGGAAGCAGGTATCAGTTGCATCTGGATTCTAGACAAGCTTGAAATCGCATCTGGTACAAAGAACACATCTGTTTTGGCCTCAATTGTAATTTGGTTTTGGGTCAGCTTTCTAAAGCTGGGTTTCTTTCACAACTTCTTGTTGTAATAATTTTTTCTTCTAATTAATGAAATCTTTTGTGTTGCTGATAAAAAAAATGCTTTTTAATTTTCTCCTTTGGAACATGATCTTTTTCTCTAGATATTGTTCTTAAAAGAAAATTTTGACAAACTGATAAAGAGGGAAATTTTTTACGAAGAGAAAACTAATCAGTAACTTGCTAGTTTTACATATCAAACAGCCGGCATGTAAATTGAAAAATAAGGTGCATGCTGCTTGGTATATGACACTCAATTTCATCTCAATACATGGTTAATTATAATATCTAAAAGTGAATAGAAGTTTAAATCTATTATATACAATATTTCAAACATAATGTTATAATATAATTATTATTTAATAGAGCACTTGCAATTCAAAAATATTATTAGCAACTAAAGATTGGCTGTAATTTCGTACTAACAAAGATTGATTGAGTAATGAAAGGGGAAAAAGCAATGAAGGGTGGAACCCCTGTTCTATTTAATGTGCTTGTGAGAGAGTAATTAAAGAAACCCTTAGGTCTTATATGTTTTAATAGAAAAACTGTAAAATAAGACAAATAATATTTATAATATAGGATATAATGTATTAACACACTTGATGATACAATGCAGTGATATTAGCAATTTTAGAATTAGGAATCTGCCTTGTGATTTTCATTGCCTAGGTGAAGAAATTATTGGAATTCCTTGGAAGAGTTCTCTGAGCTAGTATTTATGCCAGTTTCATACAACCAGGTGAATAGCTCAAGATCTGCTTGGTTTATGTTGAGATATTGGTTCCTTTGCATAGTTTGCTTCTTGTATTGATAAATCATTAAGAGATGTCAACTGGAAACCATATCTGGAAACAATGATTAGTGCATATTGGTACCGGAACTGCACAGCAAACAAAGAATTGGAGATTCGGCATCTTATTGCCTAAGTGAGTGCCTAGTTACCTAGTCAAGCCCCTTGGCAACTATGAGCCACATGCTCCCATTCCTTTTATTTTAATATGTGTATGCAAGCTGTATCTTAGGGTGATGTTCTGCTCAATATATATAGGAATCCATATATGATGTATGCCATCCATAATTGGGTGCTTGGTTTTCCTTGCATAAAGCAACTGTTGATGATCTTTGCAGTGTTGGAACCTCATAGCTGATTTACCTATGGCCTCAGGTTGGTTCTATTGCAGCTGGAGGACGCTATGACAATCTTATAGGGATGTTTGGTACAAAGCAAGTGCCTTCAGTTGGTGCTAGCCTTGGAATTGAACGAGTGTTTGCCATTATGGAGCAGCTTCAAAAGGACTGTAATCAGGTAATCTTATTTATTAAAAGAATAAATTTAAATGAGGACTGCAATAAGAAACCACTGTGGAGAGGTGAATGGAAGGGGATTTCAATAGATGGATGGGGATTCAGAAGGTTTGTGGTGGATGGGGATTTCAATAGATGGTAATTGGGTGGATGAGTGGATGGGGATTTCAATAGATGGTAATTGGGTGGATGAGTGGAAGGGGATTCACAGGTGGCAATTAGGTTGGATGAATTGAAGGGAAAGAAGTACCTTGGGTGTTTGGACTTGCTAAATGGCAAATGAAGCATTCAGATGTTATAGGGTCTGCTAACACTAGCATATGAACTTGCTAGAGAGGGGGTAAATGGGTAGGAACTTTTCAAGGAATCAGTCATTCCAGGAGGGTAACAGAGCTGTTGCTAATTATGGGGGGTGAGTTAGGTGGCTGTATTGTAGTTGTAAGGATTTATTAATTCATTAATTGTCTTCTGTGCTCTTTCTTTATTTCTCGTATTAGTAGAAGTTTTTTCAGATCAGTTGGTAATAAAAAGATATGAGACCCTAGCATGGAGTCATGGACATGTTTGGGCTTGCCTTGAGTGGTTGAATGTGTTTTATAAATGCATGCCTCGCCTTGTGCCTGGCACCTTGGGTGCAAAAAGCCCTTTGTGCTTTTAAAACATTGGCAATCTTTTGCTGTAGGGTTTATTTTCAGTGGCCAACTAAAATGCATTTTTTCCGTGTCTTTCTTACACTTGGGCAGACAATCCGAGCAACAGAAACACAAGTTTTGGTCTCTATTCTGGGGGAAGACCTATCTCAAGCTGCGGAATTGGCGAGTGAATTGTGGAATGCGAAATTGAAAGCAGAGTATATGGTTAATAAAAGAGTTATGAAACATATTGATCGAGCCAAAGAATCGAAGATACCTTGGATGGTGATTGTTGGGGAGCGTGAACAGAATGAAGGTATAGTAAAATTAAAAGACATTGAAGCCAACAAGGAGGAAGTGGTCCCAAGAAATAACATAGTTGAGGAGCTCCAAAGACAGTTGAGAAACATTCCTTTGTAATCCAAAGAAAGCTTAAATGCTGTCAAATGGAGCCCATCAACATCCATGCATGTTACAGGCTTAGTTGTCAGGTACTTGGGACTTCCATTGGTATATTGCATACACATGGGGGAATTTGCCCCATTGTCATTTCGGAGCACAGCCATAGCCAAGTGGATCAAGAGAGGCGTTCACTAAGGCCAAGAAGGATTTATTTGTTTAAGTTAATGCATGATACTGACTACATTGATGGTTTTGAGTTTGAGTGAGTTTAATTCAAATCCAACGCTTAAGCAAGTTCTTGTTTAAAGTTGTTTATCTAGCAATAGGTTAAGGGCATGAGCACAATTAGTATAGATGCTGCTGAGGCAAGTACATTTACTGATTTACATTTCAAGGCTTGATTTTTTTTTTTTTTTTTTACACCATTGGCTGCACATAAATTTTGATTTCACAATGAATGAAAAGATGCTTTGGGGAAGGTTGTTATCTCTACCTTCCACTTCTGTTGGTAATGCGATGGTGGTTTTGTAATTGTTTGGGCTAGGGTTCTCTGAAGTCTGACCTGGACAAAACCAGATTAGACTCTTAAGCAGTAAAAGTGTTGTCTGGTTCATTGATTGTAGGCAGTTTTGATGGTTCAGACCCACGAACGGCCCCGACTTTCGGTTTCACCTCAGGTTCGGTTAGCAACACATTAATTTGTAGTAGTATCAGACTGTTAGGCCCTGTTTGGTATCAATTCTGGGGATTTTCATTCTTAGAATTCTTCCAAAGAAGAATGGATTCTAGAATTTTCTTTGAAAGAATATTTATACGTATTAATGGATGACTGAAAAACTGGACGTTGTTTCTCATGGGGTCTTGTTCCAAAAGCAGAGTGCAAGCTTGCATGTGACCAAATTAAGATGGTTAGAAAATGGCTTTATATGTTCATTAAACAAGTTATATCCCAACAAACTACTGACCGCAGTTGAACATTATGATCCACATATATGTGTTCTTACATCTTCGGCTTATTTGCTCTTTCAAACTTTTAAATCAACCACTGTTTTATATAGTAAGGTTTCCAAAATTTTTTTGAATGTATGCATGTGAAGACAGAGCTATACTTATCTCCATCTCGCATTAACAATAAAGGTATGTGGACTAAATCGTGTGAATGTGAAGTTGAAAATTGAGGTATACCCAACTATGTTGAAAACAGAGTTAAACGTATCACTCAATCTTGCATCAACCTAAATAAAAAAAAGGCACTCCCACATACCTGTTATCTTGAATGTAGAAGGACGTTTGAAGAGAACAGCACAGGAGAGAGATTGATAATGGCACTACAGCAGAGAAGATGTCAACCATAAAAAATGCCAGCTCAAATAAGACAACGGTTGTGAGTAAAAAAAATAAAGGCTCAGTTTGGAAGGAGTACAAATGCATACTGTACATTTGTATTTGTATTCCTTCCAAACTGAGCCAAAGAGTACAAATACAATTATGTACAGTGCAAATGCATGCAAAATAATACAAAATATAAGGTTTTGTATAGGAGTGTTTTTTACGTGGAATATGAAGTTGGTTGCCTGTGGAAAGGAAAACTCGGAGTTGTAAAAAGTGAATATTCAACAAGGATAACAGTTGAAAGGAAAAAAAAAAAATAATAATAATAGTAATAATAATAATAATAATAATAAAGGAAAGAATGAAGATTGAAGAAGAAACAGCAAGAATATAGGAAATAGTGATTTTTACCAGAAATTTGTTGCTGCCTGTGGAAGGGGAAACTCGGAGAGAGTCATTAGAGGAGAAAGAAGGCCAAAATGAGACCAGTTAGGGCATTTTTTTAGGGTTAAGTACTCTGCAACTCAATGCAAAATTCTGAATGACAGCCCCTCATAATCTATTAGTAGCCACCCCCCCCGCCCCTTGTAAACCACATCCTGCCTGTGAATTTGGCATCAATTCACGGGCAGGATTCATCCCCTCTGTACCGTGGGGCTAAACAATTCTGATCTGGACTGATCAGTCATTCTCCCTAAAATATCGACCTTTAATCCAGTTTTGCATAATTACCTAAGTGCTCATGTTCATACATGAATGAGAATTTTCATCAAGAATAAGAACAATTCTAAGGATCGCTAGAAGTGATTCTTTGGAGTAATGCCAAATGGGTCTTAGTTTCTTTCAAAAGAACCATTATATTCTTGACTTCTTGTTAGGTGTGGTTTGTATGTTTTTTCGGCTTAAGATTCCATTGTCGGAGTAGGGCTTTGAAATTATGGAACCGATCAAATTATACAGGCCCTTAAGCATGGACTAGTAGAGCCTTATTTTAAAAAAAGAGGTAGGCGAATTGAATGGTTTTTGACACTTTCGGTAGAATTGGTCTAGCAATGTCAGAGATTGTATGGTGATGGAGAAATTTTTTTAGTGCAAGGTATGGTTTCTGAAAAACTATGATGAATATTGATTGTTTAGTTATCAGTTTTTTAGGTATCATACCTTCATTAATGGGTGTTAGATTAGGTTTGTGGCCAATTCTAGTTCAATTGAATTGTTGAACTTGAACCCCCCCCAACCTTAGTGTATTAACGTAGGAGCATTTGCATTACACTTTCCATGTAGTTACAGTTCAGATTAACTTTATGGTGGCAAGACTCCTTTATTTTCCTTGCTTTTAGTCGGTAAAACTTTTAATTTATATATGTGATTCGAGGTTTAACACTAATGAGATATTATTGTTTGCTTTATGTTTCTCTTAATTAATTATTACAAAAAAATAATACACTATTTTGAGCTTGTTTCATGGTTTTCAATTTTCATTCATTAAACGGAGGTTTGCATTCATTATTTTTGTCTAAACGTTGGAATTAAGGATGACAATTTCTACCCTCATGACAGGGTGGTTTTTTTTTTTGGAAAAGTACGAATATGTCCAATGCAGATTTCTGAATTCCACTGCAGATTTATAAACATCAAAATGTTAAAAACCCCCACTCTATACACCGATGTCTGCTCGTGAATTGGCATCAATTCCGAACTGGCCCCACTCCAACTGTACTTTGGGCCTATGAATTTTGACGCTAGGCCGAACTGTCATTCTCCCTTTTTTTTTCCTTGAAGAATGGGTTTCGGGGCGGGGATGGGATTTAGGATTTTACAATCCATATGGGTGCAAATAGGGTACTGTATTCGGCTAATCCCAGCCCTCCCCGACCCACATGTTGTTGGTAAGCAAATAAATTTTATGTGCTAGATAATAATATTTTAAATTTTACATAAAGTATAATTGATAGTTTTTGTGTTTTTTACATGCCTTAATCAAATAATTGGAAACTTTATTGATTATTTGTGTTATTTTACTTATTTATTACTTATATATGACAAGAAATATTAGGAAATTAGAAGTGGGTTCTAAACCCAACCCTCTCCTATCCTTAAATGCAGGGAGAGTAGGGTTGGGAACGATTTTGCATTTTTATATGCATGGAGTGTTTTGGATTCTCAAAATCCAACCTGCTACGTGTTTTGGGTCAGGTACATATTGAGAGGTTTAGGGAGACGGATAGGATTTAAAATTTACAAAACCCTCTCCAAACCCACTCCCTTCTCATTCCTAGTTGGAATGTGTTGGTCATTCAACTTGAAAATCTTTCTCAGATGCCAAAATAAACATCCATGTGTTTGTACTCCAATTTATGGCAATTTGATTGTTAATTATCATCTTCTAAAGAGCTGGAAATTGATTGAATCAAGTTGGATCTTATCCATTAGATTTAATTTAATTTAAATAAATTAATAAAAAATGATCAAAATATTATTAATTATCAATTAAATGAACTAAAAAAATACTTCAATATTGTATTTCATGAATAAAATTAATTAAAAATTACATGATACAAACCTGGGACATTATAAGTGGTTCTCATTTCATGGTTCTAAGAACGGTGGCATGGTTCCAAAATCATTCCAATCCTTTTTCCCTTTTTGTTTTTGAAAGTTGCAACTTTTTTTTTTGGAATCACAACAATGCAAAAAGAGTCTATCATGGTCATGGTTCTTTTTTTTAACCACTATAAATTAACATTGATTATATACTTCGTATGTATATTTACTTTCACTATGGACTTTTGATTGTATGATTCATGATCAAATAGATACATAATGTGTGACACACTATATAAATGCCATGTCATGCTTTCATCAGTGAACCATGTTTTTGATTGAGATAGCTAAATGTATTAGAAAAAAAAGGCTATTTTAATGGTTCTGAAATCAAGAATAACATATATAAATCAAATTGGGTAGGAGTGGGATCTACATCTGATCCAATTACGAATAATTTGATTTCAGATCAAGGTTTTAAAAAGGTGAAGGTATAGTTGAGGCCTAATGGCCCAAAAAGATGAGGCATAAATTTCAAAAATTAAGAAAACATTAATCAAAGTTTATAAATGATAAAAATAACATTTCGTGCATAAAGTTAGAAGAATAAAAAATATAAATCCATAAAATAGAAGTTTATAAACAATAAGTTTTAGCCCTTTAACGTTAAACAAATTAATAACTAGTCAACTGACAATTATAAAGCCTTTACATTTCATGTTTCAACATCCAATTTTCTCAAATAAAGCAAATGATTGGCGTGGAGTTGGTCCCATAGCTAGTAAAATAGCTATCAAATTCAATTAATCCACTTTTATTCTGCATCAGCCTTAAGGGTCAAATTTATATGGCTTCAAAAAAAAAATAAATAAATTTTTTGATTAAAAGAATCCTCATTGTCATCATCAACATCCAAGCCTTGTCGGCAACATGAATCCCATGTCCTTTTTGGTCTACTCGTATTTCTTCTGGTCCCTTCACTTTGTAACATATCGCTTCTTCCCATGCTATTCTTGGTCTTCTATGCATTTAACCAAGCCATTTTAGTCTACTTTCACTCATATCACCTGTTGTTGCACGGATTAGCTGAGGGCAACACCGTCGCTAGGGCATACGGCTCCCTTCGAGCCAATAACGAACATCCAATTTTGGCACCTTGCAAAGCATGAGTATGCCAGGGCGGCCAAGGCATCGCACACCTCACCACCCAACTCCAGTCGCAAATGGCCCCTTGGCTCCCAACACTTAGCACGACAGTAAGAAAAGTGGCAACCCCGGCTGCCTTAACGGTATACCTCAGCCAGTGACCCCGACCATCTTGGCTTCGCAGCCTAAGCAAGCACTTGGGGATGAAGTAGGCCAGGCGAGCTAAATCTCGGTCGCACAGCTCTGCCTCGGCTTCCCCCCTATCTTGCTGGGCCACCTCGGCTTCGCCTAAGAAAAACACTTGGGAGGAAAGTAGTCCAGGTGAGCTACAACTCGGTCGCACAACTCTA